GGGGAGGGAGGGGAAAATGAGGTGCTGATGTCAGAGGCTTATGTGGAGAGCAAATGTTTTGAGAATGAGGGTAACGAATGTAGAAATGTGCTTTATACAATTGATGTGTGTATGGATTGTGATAAGAGTTGTATGAACACCCAATAAAATGATTTTAAAAAATTAAATAACTACAGGAGAAAAAAAAGAAAGAGTAGCTGATACTAAGGGCTCAAGTAAAAAGAAAATGTTTTGGAAATGATGATGGCAACATATGTATAAATGGGTTTGATACAATTGATGTATTGATTGTTATAAGAGCTATAAGAGCCCCAATAAAATGATTTATTTTTTTTTAAAAAGATTTTTGTGGGTATATTCCTAGGATTTGCTTTCGGCTAACGGGGAAAGACTCACCTCAACCAACATGCTAAGAAGTGACTTCTTATTCTCTGCCCACAAGGCAGGGAGCTGGGCCGCCCTGGGGAAGCAGCAGCAGCTTGTGTACACCGTGATTTCTGGGCAGTGGCCATAGGTGACACTGTAGTCCTGGGATGTAAGATTCAAAACAAAAGGGAAAGTAGTAAAGAAATGTAAGAAGGTTTTATAACGTAACAAAAAGAGTGAAAAGGAAACTTGGGTAACATGAACAAAGAAATGACTGAACATTTTCTAGCACATATAAATAAACCACTCTGGTCATCAAGACGCCCTCGTAGCACTGTTGGTCAGCAGTGGACTGCTAACTCTGCGGCAGATGGCTCACACTCGCCAGCCACTTCTCAGGAGAAAGGGGCGGCTGCTGTCTGACAGTCACTATGAACTGGAATGAAATCGGTGGCAGTGAGTTTGGGGTTTGGAAATTCCATCCGTTGCAAATGTGACAGCTCTGAACAGACTGGAGCCCCTTGGGGACACAGACTCTGCCTAATTAGATGCCCAGTGCTTCCCACAGTGCCTGCCAGGGAGAGGGGGTTGTGGGACAAGTGAAGACATGAGTAACTTCACAGAGGATCAGCTTCACTGAAAGCCAGGGGTTCTCAACCTTCCTCATGCCGCGACCCTTTCCTACAGTTCCTCCTGTGGTGGTGACCCCACCCATAACATTATTTTCGTTGCTACTTCATCACTGTCATTTTGTTACTCTTATGAATTGAGTAACCTCTGTGAAAGGGTTGTACGACCTCCAAAGGGGCCATGATCCACAGGTTGAGAACCGCTGCTCTAAACCCTGCAACATCACGGCTCTAAATCCTGCAACATCACGGCTGTTCCTGGAGGTGGTCTGCTATAGAAGCCTAGGACATGCCCCTGGACACCCTCGGCCTGAACCTGACGGTCCATTCCTGCACTTAGCCAGCAGGCACAGAAACCGTCTCTGGGGGGAGGTTCAAAAACCTAACTGCCCCTGCTTCCCCGCAAACCTGCTAATTTCTGCTCTGGCTGCTTTCTCTGTTGGACTATCCTGCCCCACCACCCACCCGTCTCCCAAATGCCAGGTCCTCTGTGGAGAGACGGTTCTACCCCTGCTGAGGTGCAACCTTTCCTGCCTTTGGGTTTTCATGGCACATTGAGAGCGTGGCTCTTTTTGACAGACTAAATTAATTCTGGGCTGCACGTGTGCATGGATCAGCTACCCGCTCCTTTGCTATAACTCTTTAACTATTTTGAATTGGATGGACAACCAGTTAAAATACTGCCAGTGGTTAATTTAAGGGCTAAGCACGTCAAGAAAACCAAAGCAGATCCCAGTGTAGTTTTATATCAGAAAAGCCACGTATTCTCTTTCAAAATGGCCAGTATTCCAAATTCCATTCTCACTGTGCTCCTACAAAAGCCAAAAAGCCACGTAACCCTTCGCTCAATCAGCATGATTGATAACTCTCATCTCACGGAGCTCTGCAAACCGTACCTTCATGCTGCCCAGGTGACTGTGCCATTCTGCTCCACGCATTACCCCTCCTGGAATATTCTCATCTATGAAGATATTGACAGATGTTGGATTCAGCAAGACAGCAGGACCAGGGTTCCCCCAAAACAGTAACAAAAGCTAGGGAAATCCTTACCTGATTTATTGGGACAGCCAGGCTGACCCATGTGCATTGAGGGATGATTATTTGCATACAGAGATGCCAAATGCTTCAGAGTCTCTTTGTTTTCCACTACAACAACAACAACGACAACAATTATATCCTCATTGAAGTTTATTGTCGAGTTGATACAATTTAAAGTAAATAGCATTAGTTTGTGGTAAAAGATTAAGGAAATATTTTGATAAAGGCTTTCATTGACCGTATTCCTGCAGTTGGCTTTCCATTTAGCTCAGAGTCTTGGTGGTGTAGTGGTTATACATCGGGCTGCCAACTGCAAGGTCAGCAGTTCAAAAGCACGAGCCGCTCCTCGCTCCTCGGGAGAAGGAGCTTTCCACTCCCACAGAGTTACAGTATTGGAGATCCACGTTCTGCTCTATCATGTGATGAGTCAGAACGCCTCCATAGCAGTGACTTTTGTTCTAATGATATTATTTCTCATAATCAAACTACCCAAACGCTCTTTATATACAGTATACAATGACCCGAGAGATTCAACAAGCAACTGTTTACTGTACTGTAAGGTGCAGTCATGCAAAGTTTAGAGCAGGGGAGGGCAATTCTATACTGTAAGTAATTGGATATATCTGAATTTGCTGTGAGCTGGCACTGTGTATTCCCAACATCTACAAGCGTTAATATTTGTCCAATAAATGCTTGAAAACTAAATTGAACACCTATGGCAAGGAGGCTAAACTCAACAAACCTGGGCCTTCAATAGATCTGTCCTCCAAGTAACTGAATTTTATGTATATAATCTTCTAAGGCTAGTAATTTCTCAGGGAGTGTGCTTACTCACTATTTAAGTAAATTTGCGAGAAAAATTTCCTAGTGGAATTTCCTATCTGTGCTTAAAGAGAACATATGTAAAACGACACCCGACATACCTGTCTGTACTGGCTTGTCATATGGATATGTGACCAGCACAGAACCACCATCTAAGGCAACTGAAAGGCTGAAGTCTTGTTTCTGAATCAAATTTTCAATGATGGCTTTAGTCTCGGGCTGGGAGGCATTATCTAAAAGATAGAAAAGTCAAGACATGATATGTTTTAAATGTCAGTATAAGTAGCTAAGAACCTATTCTCTACGTGGGCACAACAAAATACATCCATATTATATAAACATCCATAGATAAATGTTACTTCTCCACAAGTCACTCTCTCGAGCAAGAAAGATGTACTGTAGCAGGCAGACTGCTCTAGTTGTAAGTACTTTGGGGTGAATGTCTGCATGTGAATGACTAGGTACGTTTAAGAAACTTCTTGGCAGCAAACAGGGAATGGACGCATCTTCCTTTATGAAATAATGAGAGGTTTTCAGCCTGTCTTTGAAAGAAAGTAGGGTTTTCAAAAAGCAGGGTGTTTTCTTCTTTTTTTTAAATCATTTTATTGGGGGCTCATACAATTCTTATCACAATCCACACATACATCCATGGTGTCAAGCACATTTGTACATTTGTTGCCATCATCATTCTCAAAACATTTGCTCTCTATTTGAGCCCTTTGGTATCAGCTCCTCATTTTTCCCTACCCCCCCAAGAACCCTTGATAATTTATAAATTATTATTTTGTCATATCTTACACTGTCCGACGTCTCCCATCACCCACTTTCCTGTTGTCCATCCCCCAGGGAGGAGGTTATATGTAGAGCTTTGTAATCAGTTCCCCCTTTCCACCTCACTCTCCCTCCACCCTCCTGGTATTGCCACTCTCACCACTGCTCCTGAAGGGATCATCTGTCCTGGATTCCCTGTGTTCCCAGTTCCTATCCGTACCAGTGTACATCCTCTGGTCTAGCTGGATTTGTAAGGTAGAATTGGGATCATATGAGAGGGGGGAGGAGGAAGCATTTAAGAACTAGAGGAAAGTTGTATGTTTCATCGTAAGCAGGGTGTTTTCTGTAGCACTGTTTGCAGGACTAAAAAACTCAAGACAAACTAAATGTACATCAGTAGGAAATTGGTTGACTAAACTAGTTTATCGCCATATAGTAATGATGTACTACAAAGCAATTAGTAAGAATGTTGGCAATCTACAAGAACTGAAAGATGTTGATGGGGTAGTCAATTAAAAAAACCTGATCTCATTTATGTAAAGAAGAAATGAGCTCCTCAAGTCAACATACAATGTAGTTATTTATGTGCGTGTGTGTGCACAACACTGAGATGCAAGGAGAGCAATAGCAGTCTCCATCCTACTAATGATGGGACAGTTCAGTAGTACAGATTGAATTTCCTTATGTAAAGGAAAAAGGAAAACAACCCCCAGAGCTTTCTGGATGCCTATACATTTATACCTCATCTTGAACAAGAAAGTAGCCCGTTACTCATCTAAAAGATAAAATCAACCAATCTCCTACCAGAGATAAATGCATTAAGTAAAATGCAAGGGTATGCCCAAAAGTCATACTGTTGCAAATCATGGAAATGTATACTAAACAAAAGTAACAGAATATCAAGTTCTTGGTGCTTGATATATCCCCTGTGTAGGTCTATCCTTGAAGAATGAGCAGCTGTGCTGTCACATGTGGAAAAACTTGCTCGGGGTCATTTTCCTGGCCTTTTTTTTCACCAATGCAGTTTTCAAAATTCTTAAAACTTCTACGTTATAAGGCCCCATGATCATTCTGTGTTCCTTGAGAAATATCTACTGAGATTATTCCTTGGGATCCCCTCAAATAGTCCCCATAACCTTCTGAGCTGATCTCTCTGCCTTGAATCTCCCTGGCCCTGCAGATCCCCTCTGAGGCCACTGCTCTTTCTTTGGGAAGGTGCCCTAGAGAGATTAAGACAAGAGTATTTCTGAGAGAACCTGTCTGCAGCCATCCACTGATGGGAGACACACGTAAGCATGTTGTGTTTAAGATAAACACACGCATGTGTGAACGGGAGCCCCAGCAGCAGTCCTGTTTACTGACCCGCGTATCTGCAAAGTGGGAATAGTCCAATTCAGTCTAAATCCGTCTTACTTGTAAAGTCTGTATCCAAGTCTTTCCCGTGAGCATTTGTTTGTCCTGTCTTTGAAGTACAGTCCTTCTCCTGTGCTCTCTCTCGCCCATCTGGATTGAGGGAAGGGACAATCACAATTCTAGTCCTGTCAATCAACTAAAACAGAAACAGAAATCAGTGAGTTTATTAGCGCAGTGTAGAATCACCAGGTATCCTCTCAACAGATATTCTCCAAAGAGAACGTCTTTATTGTTTGCTTTACACATACACTTAGAAGGCAGAGCTTAAAGAGAAACATTCTCTCTCTCTTGCTTCAGATTCCCCAAAACCTCCCAATGACTTAGAACCAAACCCCAACCAAGCCCACTATCGCTAAGTCGATTCTGACTTAGAGTGACTGTATGGGATTTCTGAGAAGCAGGTGACTCACCTTTCTCCCCTGCTGTGCTGGTTAAGTTTGAACCACTGACCTTTTATTTACCAACCAGATTTTTTACCCAACAGTGCCACCGGAACTTAAAATAAGGGTCGGCAAACTACTGCCTGCAGGTCCAATCTGGCTGCCTGCTACCATGTATAATGTTTTGGGTACAATGCCATGTTCATTCATTTATCTATGACTGCTTCCCTGCTACAATGGTAGAGCTGAGTAATTCTAATACAGACTGTTTGCCCGACAAGCTAAAAATACATACCATCTCATCCTTTGTGGAGAAAACTGGCTGATTACTGGCTTTGAACCCTAACAATGATGACACTTAATTTTACGAACTGGAATGCATAATCTGAAAACCAGCACTGGAAACTATGGGACAGAAGAGTAGACATCAGCACTTCCCAAACCATCAGTAAAACCTGAAATGGGATACCTACCTTTCCCAACATAATCTCTCTGCTAGATGGATCAATACCTACACTTAGCTGGCAGGAACTAGTTTCTGATATGTTATCATTCAACAAGTGACCTGCTGGCTTTTTTATTCTAGTAAAAGAGTCTATTGGTAAAAATACTTGAGTTCCTTTAATTCTCTGGTTCTCTAATTGCTCCCTGCTAGAGATTCATTTCTAAAGGATGGATGCTTGAGCTTCCCCACAGGCCTGCTGAGTGAGAATCTCTGGGGATATGAATCTGGGCATGTCTATTTTTTTCTGAAACTCTCCAGGTATTTTGGACTTTTAACTCGAGACACATGGCAATCTAAAGCGTTCTAGTCTGATAAGTAACTATTCAGACCCCATTAGACCAGTGAGGCAAGTTCTGATAAACCAGGAATTTAGAGAGTCCCAAGTTTCTTTAGGTAGGATCAGTAGGATGCCATCCTGGTTAAATGCGAAGAATACCAATGCCTCTGGGGATAGGGCTCAGGTATCAGTGTTTTACAAGGGTGACAGGGATTTGGATGGGTCTAGTGTGCAGCCAGGGTTGACAACAACTGTCCGAGATACTTCTTCCACTTTAAGTAAGCCAAACAGCGTCTCTGAGCTGCTTCCTACCACTCACATGAAGAATTCGGTAGAGATTGTGATAAGGGTTGTATGAGCCCCTAATAAAATGATTAAAAAAAAAAAAAAAGAAAGCTGATGGTGCCCGGCTATCCAAAAAAAAAAGAATTCGGTAGAATTTACTTTACTGAAGATGGTAAAATAATTTCTGATCAAGTCCGATTAGGTTCACCTGATCTAATCATGACAACACTTCATTCCAAATTCCTCCTGGGGAGGCAGTGTGACAGAACAGAGCAGCATGGACTCTAGAGTGCGATACGATCTCCGTTAAGTCCCAATCTGACCACTAATTTGTTGTGTGAGCGCCTACAAGTTATAAAATAGAGGTTTCAGTAACTGCACCTATACAATGGACAGTCATAAAACAGAATAGAGGAGTATATTAAAAATGTATGTAAAGTACTCATTATAGTGCCTGGCACACAGTAAGCACTCAACAACTCTTCGTTCTCTTCCCTTTTCCTAAATTCAATAAGACAGGTGCCAAGTAGAAAGTGTGGTTGAAGAATGTACCTCTTGCATTCTTTTCTCTGAAAAGCCCCAGACCTCAACTGCATCATCCAGACCAAGCCTCTGGCTCCAAGTCACTACTTGTCTGAGTCATGGACAATGAAAGTAGAACACGCCACAAGGCTTAGTCTACAACTTTTTAACAGCCAAGATAGCTAATTTATATTTATTAAATGAGAAGGAAAAAAATCTGTGTCTCCCACTGCTTTTTTAATACAGTATCCTACTAGTGTTGAATCTCGAAGGATAAGAGATCTCACAAGTGGACACACGGACCTGTGAGTAGAGGCTCAGATTAGGACTGGTTAAGCACAGGAGGCGAGGAGTAAGGCAAGCCTCCAGTATGGTTCTCCTTACTATCATTTCAGAAACAGAACCCACCAGCCACTCGGTGTGCGAAAGAGGAGAGTCTACTTCAGCAAAGATTCATGTCAGAAACCCTACAGGTTCCGAAGGGTTGCTATGAGTTGGAAGGGACTTCACAGCCATGGCGTCCACTCCTGAAGGATTCAGTTTACAGGGTAGGGGAAAACCCCTGTGTAAAACGCACCTCTCACTCAGAATTTTAAAACGAGACCTGACACGCACACACACGGAGGTTTTCTGTTTACAGCCTGTCAGAACAGGTGCTCTCTTACTTGGGTAACAGCTGGGTTCTTCTTGTAGTTCAGGCAGAGAAATTCTGCCAAAGCCAAAAGCAGTTCCGTTCCAACGGGAGCGTTTCCGTGGATGCCAGCGACATAGCGAATCTTTGGTTCTTCGGGCTCAGATACATTTGGCTTATTGGAGATTTCCAGGGACCAGATGTGACGATACTCAGCACTTTGTCCCAAACTTTTAAGAACCAAAATCAAAAAGTCAGCAAGCAGTCACACATGATATTGATGTTGACTTATTGACACTTAAAAGAGAAATGGAATGAATCACTGTGTCAGAAGACTTCCGGAAAATTAGTTTTCCTTGTTCAAAGAAAGTAGAATTAAAGTCAGATAGTATCAGACATAGGCCAGTTTGTGATTAAATTCAGCATTCTCAAATTCAGTCATTCTATACTACCTTCACAATATTTGCACTACTTCCATAATCTTTACTGATATTTAGCTAATGTGGCTCTTCCAGACCAGTGGTTCTCAACCTACCCCTTTAGGGGTCAAATGACCCTTTTACAGGGGTCGCCTAAGACCATCAGAAAATACATAAATATTTCACAATATATAACTACATACTGTTTTGTGATTAATCACTCCACTTTATGTTCAATTTGTAACAATGAAAACACATCCTGCATATCAGATATTTACATTACATTCATAACAGTAGCAAAATTATAGTTATGAAGTAGCAACAAAAATAATTTTATTGGTTGGGGGTCACCACCACATGAGGAACTGTATCAAATGGTCACGGCATTAAGAAGGTTGAGAACCACTGTTCTAGACTATGTTATTTACATTTTTTGATACAGAAATGTTTAAATGGCTTCAGGTGTAGAGAACCTCCCTTTCTACATCTAAACTAGTTTATGTAATCCCACACTTTATCCTTGACTATAAATGTATCATAGTAAAACGAAGGCAATGATAACAAAACAAGCAGTCAAATGCTCTGCCTGCCAAGAACACTGAGTGAGACCTGCTCTCTTTGACAGAAAGGGAGGCTTACAGGCGGTAAAGAGGAAACAAGAACACATTCGCATTAAATTGAGGGGGATCAGGAGAACAGAAGAGTTATTACTTGCTCACTAGGCTATTCCATGGTTCTGAAGGCCCACTGGTAGGTAGGTACCACCTAAAGCCATCTTGCATCCCACCATGGGCTCCTCTTTCCCATTTTGGAGAAATTATTTAAAAGTGTGTCTTGAATTGGACTATAGAACAAGACTTAGATGAACTAAGTAAATGGAGAGCAAAATAACTTCCAATTATGTGGTTTATTTTTAAAATAAGAATGTCTATCAGCTGTATGGGGAACTGTGATAAGTGATATTAAAACTGGAACTGGATAGAACTATCCAAGCATCAGCTAAGGGAGAGAACTACAAGTTCAGGACCAATGTCAAAGAAAGGCTTGCACAGGAGGCAAACAACAGGGGTCAGCCAATCATGGAGTGACTTTTGAAGTAACTTTAACAAGACATAGGGGTTAAGCACTCAGCTGCTGACCAAAAGATTAATGGTCTGAACCCACCAGCCACTCCATGGGAGAAAGATGTGGCATCCTGCTTTCCCCCCAAAGATCATGGCTTTGTAAACCCTATGGGACAGCTATGCCAGGTCCTCTGGGGTCGGTATGAGTCACAATGGCCTCAAAGACAATGGGCTTTAAAATGACCTATAATGAAACAGAGAAAGTGAGGCCAAGAAGCTGCAGAAAGGGAAGGTAAAGGCTACGTGAGTAATGCAGGGGTCCCTAACACTGGGAACAGAGACGGCCTGGCTGGCTGTTGCTGCGTGCCATGAATGGGTCCTGACTCAGAGAGGCCCTACAGGGCTGAGGACAACTCTCATGGGGTTTCTAGGCTGTAAGAAGCAGACTGCCAGGTTTTTCTTCCTCAGAGTCCCTGATGAGTTCAAATCACTGGCACTAAAGTTAGCAGCTGCCTGTGACGGCCAGGCTCCCTTGTGAACAGGAATCAGAGTACCAAGAGATGCAGCAGCCCTGCTTCCGTTTCTATCTGAGTAAAAGGAGGTGACATAGGACTGAACTATGGGATGGTATGATGTCTGCATTCATTCCTAATAAAACGGTTTAGAGGGGGTGGTTACACACGACACTGGGCAGGTGAATTCACACATTCTCCCAAATCCCGCCCCACCCCCCACCCCGCTTTAACCCCAGAGCAAAGTAAAACAAACCATGGGGCAATTAGTTAGAACATGATTCTGCAGCTTGGAAGTACAAAGGTTTTGAAAGCAGTCTATTCATTAAGAAAAATAATTTTCTCTTTTCCGATGGCACAGGCTATATACATTGCCAATCTAACAAGTTATTTTCCCTAATGGACTTCATTAAAACAAACAAGCAAACATGAAAACAAAGTCACTGCCATTGAGTTGAACCCAACTCACAATAACCCTGCTGGGCGGAGTAGAACTGCCCCACGGGTTTCCAAGACTAACTCTTTATGGGAGTAGAAAGCCTCATGTTTCTCTAGTGGAGTGGCTCGTGGTTTTGAACTCCTGAGCTTGCAGTTAGCAGCCTAATGTGTAATCCACTATGCCACCCCTCCTGTATCTCCTAAAAGGTCCTAAAATTAATCATTAGAAAGATTTCCAAACATGTATCTCCTGAAAAGCAAGTAAAGGGAAGTTCCCTACAAATATTAATGCCCCGATATTTCTAAATCAACTACAAGAACCATTCCAAATGGCTAATACCGAATGTGTCTTCTTTTATTTAAAGGCCGTAGGACAGTTCAGAGGAGAGCCCATACCTGGTGAGATTTGTAATCTGGGGATAGTTCATGACAAGTCCTCTCAGAAACTCGGATAAGTCTTTGTAGGAATGGTAGCGATAGAGAGCCAGATTTGAAGAGGAGCGTAACATGAGGTCCTCCAAACCATTCTCAGCAGAAAGGTCTTTAATTAAAGTTTCAAACTCCTTGGTAGTTGGATCGCTGGCCTCGTCAGTGCTGGTGCTATCTCCCTTTCCCTTTTTTGATTCATTGCTTGAATCTGTTGAAGATCGAACCAGTGTGAAATTGACCCGAGTAGCACCTTCACCGGTTACGGTCACGTTCTTGGTAACTGGATTATACCTGTAGACACAGAGACAGGTCAGAGCTACACTCTTTCAGCGGGAGAGCCTAAGCCCTAGGACAATCAGGTGTGGGGAAAGCAAGTAACTGACTGGAATGAATGCAGTGCATCTTTCTGAAGAGTTACATTTTTTAACTTTGTGATAAATGTAAATATTAGCAAACAAAGAACAGACATACACATGGTTACTTATAAAATAGGAATGGGTTCTTAAGATGAGACCCAGGACTTCAAACAAAATTGTAGGCATGCAATGGATACCCTTATGTCTTTTAGGATCTGAATCCATTTTTCTGCCATCAGGGTATGTGGGTGAAAACGTTTGAGATGTACTAACTCGGGATAATCTACATCAAGTACACCTTGCTTGCTATTTCTCAGATATATTGGTGTTTCTGCTCATCCACTACTAGGTCCACACTGAACAACAGCAGAAATGCTCTCGCTGGTCAGTCACACAAGGCTTTCGTTCAACGTGATGGAGCCTTCTCAAACCCCACAGCCAGGCTCTCTGCTATCCAGTCAATGTGCACTCACAGCGACCCCACCTGACAGCCTCTAACTGCCCCTGTGGGTTTCCAAGGCTGCACATTTTCATGGGAGTAGAAAGCCTCATCTTTCTTTTGAGGAATAGCTTGGTGACTTTGAACTGTTGACCTTATGGTTAGCAGCTTAATGTGTAGTCCACCATATCACTAGGGCTACTCTCTATACAGCAACTGCTACTTTTTAAAAAAGTGATCTGAAAATTATTTTTTTTTAAAAGTAACAGTTGCTATCAACGCCCTCATGTATTTAGTCTTACTGAAATGACCGCTCAACTACAGCTTCACAAACAAGATAGTGTGTGGGAGAAGAGCAATTCCTGCACTGATATCCACACTCAGCAAAACAAACTTTCAGTTTTTAATATTTTCTGATTTCTTTGCCATTGCAGTTTTTGTTTTGTTTTGTCATTGCTGGTGTTTTCTGATTTGTTTCTTGTTTTTGTTTTCTATGATTTTCAGTATATGAAATCTAAAATGGGTAAAAATATAGATAATAACTACATTAATAATTACCTGGTGGCACGGCAGGAGAGGTTGGAGAAAATGGGGAGCTAGCAACATTAAGTACGAGAAAGAAGATAATGTTCTGAAATTGATCGTTGTGATGATTGCACATCTCTTCTAGAATGTGACTAGACAATTAAACTGTGTCATATTTGAATCACATGCCAGTAAAACGATTCTAAACCAGAAAGCAGTAAGGAGGTAAAAGCGGTACATTTTAGACTAGGCAGGCACGTGAAAAGACTCGCTCACTCTTTTTTCAAGAATGAGATCTTTGTGGAAAGGAAACCCCTGAGAATGAGGGCAGGCTTGCTTAGGGCATCTCATAGCAGCGACGAGGGAAATGTTCCCTGGTCAAAAGGGAGTGCCTGAGAAGGAGTTTTGTGCTTGAGAAGGAGCATTAAAGGGTTTTGTGTGTTTGTGTGTGTGTTTCCCAACAGTTTCAATGGCATATAATCCATGTATCATACGATCCAATAGTTCGATCACATTAAGAAGAGTTGTCCAATCACTGCCACAGTTTTAGGGTATTTCCCCCATTCCTGTGCTCACCGCCATGAACGCCCCATCGCTTCCCTAAACGGCTTTGCGATGGAGCACAGGTTAGTTAGGTGGTGGTGCTAATGGGACTAGAATCGTACAGCAGGGTAGGGACGTTGTTGTGTCAACTAACAAGTGCTTTCCAGAATTGTTACCAGTAGTGAAGGGAAACATTCACTGTGGCTTTTACTCAGCAGGGGGTGGGGGAGGGAGGGGTGTACTTGGGGGCAGGTGAACAGGTGAGGAGGACGGTTAAAGAGAGATCATGCACAGATTCCTACACATGCAGTTGGTGCGTTCAACCCCACTGGAATGGCCGTATCCGGAGGGTTCTCAAGATGGCCTCGTTTCCCTTTCGACCACACAGCAGTTTGTGGATTTGAACCACCAACCTTGCAGTTTGTAGCCTGATGCTATTCCACAGTGCCAAGAGGGCTCCTTTGTGCCCCTATGGGACAGTCAAAAGTGTAACGAGCTCTGAACTTCCCAACCTTAAAGTTGCTTAGGCTTTCTGGTAATAATTTTCTAGACTGGAGCCATGTTTGTCTTATGCTCAAACACTCAGCGTGAAAGTGGTCAGTCACTCACCCTCGAGCAGATACTGTGACTTTGTAAGTTCCTGGAACCAAGAGACGCCAGTAATCTCCATTCTTGTAAGTAGTTACTGGGTGATTAATTTCAGCAACACTAATGGTGGCATTTAATATACCCCGGCCATCTGTGGCATCAAGGACAAATCCACTGATACCCTGATGAACCTGGGTAAACAGAAGAACGGAGTATTTCAGTACTGAACAATATTATCTACTTACGCTGAGAACTCACACGACAAGATAACAGTCTGTGTAATGGAAAAGCATGGAGCAAAGAGGAATGTAGGAATTCAGAGTAAAGCTCAATGCAGACATTCATGAAGCAAACTATTTTAGTGTCTGGAAGGCTACTTTTTAAATGTGTTAGGTTTGTCTTTATCATGAGCAAGCTAAACACTGTTTAAACGTTAGCATCTCCTGACAAATTCAAAATACGAATCATTCTACAAGTAAAGTTGACCTAGCCTCTTCATAAAGGAAAAGTCATTCACACACACACACACACACACACACACACACACACACACACACACATCCAGAAGAGCTAATCTAGGTTAAAGAAATGTAACAATCAAATGCAGTGTCTGCATCTTGACTAGATCCTGGTTTCAAAATATAGCTATAAAAAGACATCTTGGGAACCAAACCCACTGCTGTCAAATGATTCTGATACACAGCAAGCTGACCTTGTAGGACACAGCAGAGCCGCCCCAAGGGGTTTCCAAGGCTGTAAAACTGGATGGCACAGTGACAGCGTTCGGGCCTCCAGCCTCCTTGTTAGTAGCCAAGAACTGACACTACTGTATCACTGGACTCCTTCTTTGGGGGCAGTGGGAACATCTTGAATGTAATTCATGTATCAGGTAATATTAAAGATCTCCACTAATTTTCTTAGGCGAGAAAATGCCATTTGATTAAACACAAGGCTATCCTTTAGGAGCTAGATGCTGAAATATTTAGAAGTAAAATGACAACATCTGCAATTTAGTTTGAATTAGTATAGGAAAAATGTGTGTATAAATATATGCCTGTAATTTAAATATATATAAAGCAAATACAACAAAATTTTAACAAGTGTTCAATGTAGGTATAGGGATACGGGAGTCTCATATTGTTCCTGTTGTAGTGCTAGAACTTTTCTGGATGTACTATTTTTTCAGAATAAAATAGTAAACACATTATGTACTCACAGGCCTTAAGCCACACTATTTGGCATGAAGAATAAAGTGGAGAAATACTGGCACAAAGTATTGCTCAGATTGTCCTAATTAATCCTTGGCATTAGAGAGGGCTGCAAAACATTCATGGACATGGAATGAAGAGATCATGGAATTTTTCCATGAACTTTTTTGAAGCCCCCTCATATTTCTTGTCATCTTTACTCACTAGCCACAATGCCTATACAAACAAAAGGAAATTAATCACTTCACAGCAAATCAGTGGCAAAAAGGGGAAGGATCAGAACATTTCCTCCACTGGTAAATGACAGGCTACCACGTGAACAACAGCACCAGGAAGAAAACAGTACTCAGAGGTACCAGCCAGACCCAGAGGGCAGCATCTGCCAAAGACAAAGCTCCGAGGAGGGAAAGGGGCAGGAAAGAAGGCTGAAGGGAAAGATGGGGAGAGGGTGGGTGCTATTTCCTTACCCGGGGTGTAACCAAAACCACCAAACAAAATGTGGCCGAGTTGTTGAATGGACAACAACTTTGCTCTGTAAACTTTTATCCAAACAACAGTCACAAGAAATGAAAACTACACACTTACACACCCCACCCACCCCTAACCCACCCAGCCGCCCATCTTTCTGTCATACTACAAATAAGACTAGTATCTGATTAAGGACATCCTGGTGGGGTAGTGGTTCTGCATTGGGCTGCTAACCCCCAGAGGTCAATGGTTCAAAACCAGCAGCTGCTGCACAGGAGAAAAACAGGGCTTTCTACTCCTGTAAAGATTTGCAGTTTCAGAAACACACAGTTCTGCCCTGCCCTACAGTCACTACAGTCACTAGGAGTCAACATTGACCCGTTAGCAGTGAGGGTTGTTTGTTTGAGCATCGGATTTGTTAGCCTTTAATAACCCAGCCCATTGCAATCCAGGCAGTGCTGACTCAAAGTGGCCCTAGAAGGTAGAGAACTGCTCCCTAAGCTGTACGTCTTTAAGGGAGCCCTACCTTCTCCCACCAACACCTGGTGGGTCTAACTAGGGACCTGTGGTTTGCAGCCCCAACACGCAGCCCACTATACCACCAGGGCCCCACAGGTTTTTAAGAGCAAAACTTCAGTACATTTTATTCAATAATTCTCCATGCATACAAAGAAACCCATTTGATCCATGAATGTTCTAGATATATGTACTAAGGCATGAATGGGTCCCTCTGGACTTAAAAGGATATATTTTAGAATTATTGCATAAAATCACATGTCCAGACAAAAACATTCTTGTCCACGAGTGAAATCCATCATTCATTTTTGAATAATCACCTGCTTCATAAACTGGATTAGAGATCTTCGATTCTGTTCCCACAGTTTGGGCAGTTCTTTCTCAAATGGGTATTTCACACAACCTAGTTCAATCGTCACTTCAAAGCAATTTGTGTGCAAGTAGTTCCAGTCCTGCATACCACCTAAAGATTAAAAAATTAAAATCACTCACACTGGAGAAGTCCCAAAAGGTTAGTAGCATTCCTAATAAAAGGAAAAATTCCCCTTTCAGCAACATTTACTTCAAAAACAAGACTGTATTTCTACGAGGGCTCTTCCGTCAGCATAGCGAGGCTCCTCATTACACTCAGTGTTCAAACGGCTGAAAAGTTATCTCGAATGCTTTTTAATAAAATTCTTTTGTAATGTTTTACATACTTTTAAAAGACTGCGTCTATCTAAAAATTAAAGGATCGGTGACAGGCTGCACCTGGAGGTGAGGGTGGGGGTGCCCATCAAACTCCATGGCCTTGATAGAAAATAACCTTTACCTGGGACATTGTACCATTTTGCTCCATTTGTTATCCCATGGGGAAAATATTCACTAGGGTATATGTTCTTGCAAGGTTTACCTTGAAACATCTGAAAATTTTCCTGAAAAAGAAAAACAAAATTTTGCAGTGAATGGACCTCTAGCGAGACGGCCATTCATTGAGCTGGTATTTCTTCTTTTCCTCAAAAGGACACTCGAAACGCGCGAGTCCAGGAGGCTCTCCGGGAGATGCTGCTTGGTGGAAATAGAAGACAGAACACTACTTCTGGTGGAAGAAGGAAATAAATGGGAATTTAGATTTCTTTTTGTTTGCATCTGCATCAAAAACACTGGGAGGATATAGGAACAAATAAGACAAGTGGTTACATATCAGCTGTGTGTGTATGTGTGGAGTGGCCATGGGGTAGCTGGAGCAAGGAGAAGCAGTGAGAGCTTCTAATACACAGCTTTCTGTGCCTTAACTTTTGATAATGTTAATTTATTATCGCTGAAAAAAATCAAAATTAGATGGGAGTTTTAAAAAATTGAAGACTTCACTTATTACTTGCAACAGAAAACCCAGATTAAGTCCTGCTCCTACCTACACCCTACAAAACTCTGCTCATATTCACACTTTCATGCTCTCAGGATGCTTAAAGCCAAAAAGGTCACATACAATGTAAAGTAAGCAGCTGTCGGAGGCTTCTCGAGGGAGTGACATGAGGGCCAAACAACAAAGGCTTGTCCTGTGACAGGACGTTCCTGTTGTGATAAGCCAGCCAGCTTTCAGGAATTGGCTACATCCGCCTTAGGAAGCCAATAGATGCAATCTGTTCGAAAGAGAGAGGGAGTCAGGAGTGCGAGCCCAAGGCTGCCCCAGAGCAACCGTGGGAAGTTTCCCTGCGAAGAGAGGACTTGACCTGAGATTCTGGCAGGAAATTTAAAGGTGGTTTGTTTTTTTTTAACAAAAGAATAAGTTTCATAACATCTTATTTTTACACAAAATCTTACCTTGGAATAGGAGAGCGCTATTTGCTGAAACACAGCATCATCTGGCGACTTGCTGTATGTTGCAAGGCCTTGTTCATCATCGTCGTACGGGTAGTTCACCACCAAAGAACCTACGAAGGAAAAGAGGGAGACGTTCTGTCATGTCACCTGTTTCAAGGTGGCTCATGAACAGAAAATGTGCTTTCCGCAATTCTGCCAGAGAAGGAAACCAATAAATACCAGTTAATTTCCTCAATAGAAAATCAAAGTGCATCAATAGGAAAATAAATAGTCATGCCTGACTCCAAAGAGCACCTTAACTAGAATTTACATGCCAACACTGGAAGCAGACGTATACAGATTTAATTCAAATAATTTAACTTTTATAGTAATTAGGATCAGAAAAAAATGAGTAAAATTTGACACTCAATACAATTCATGAATGTTTAAGGCCGTGAAATTTTAAATAAGAAGAAACACTTAAGTTAACCAATCTAGCCTCCCCTTTTCAGAGATGCGGGTCTGAAACACACCGAGAGCACTTGATCTCCTCCTTAGAAAAAGAGCTGAGCTCATCAAAAGACATTGCCAAAGTGAAAAGAGAACCTACAGACTGGGGAAATAAAATGGCTATAACACATCTGACAAAGGCCCATTATATCTATAATACATAGAAAACTCTAACATCGCAATAACAAAAGGACAAACAACCACACACACACACAAAAGGGGGTGGACAGAGGATATGCATAGACAATTCACCAAAAAGCAACAGTTAAGTGGCTAACAAATATTTGAAAGACGCTCAGGATCATTAGTCATTAGAAAGTTGCAAATCAAAACTACAATGAGATAGTGTCTCACCATGGCAATAATAGCACCGATCAAAATAACAGCAACAAGTGTTAGCAAGGTGGCAGGAGACTGGAAGACTTAAATGCACTGCTAGTGGGTCTACAAAAGACACAAGCACCATGGGAAATGATACGGCATTTTCTTCAAGGGGAGAAATAGAAATACCATACGAACCAGCAATCTCTGGCTATCCATTTCAAAATGAAACAGGGCCCAAATCTCATACTGCATACAAAAACAAACCCAACATGGACCAGAGACCAAAATGCAACGCCTAGAACGATAAAGATCATCCATGGAAAAATAGGGACAAACTTAGGAGCCTAACATATGGCATAAACTGGAAACAGAAACAGCAGAAGACAGACAGATGCCTGGAACATAAACATTTAGCTACTGATGTACACCAAAAGAGTAAAAACAATGAACAGACTGGGGATCGTTTCTTGGTAATGGTGTATTAGACAATGCATTAAATTTTACAGAAAACGTTAATACCTCAACAAGGAAAAGACAATCCTATTAAAAAATGGGCCAAGGACATGATCAGACACTTCACCAGAGAAGACAATCAGGCAGCCAACACACACATGTGAAGAAATGCTTGTGATCATTAGCCATTCAAGAGATCCAACAATGAGATACTACCTTACTCCAGTACTAAGAGCAAAGTTAAAAAGAAAATCACTAACACCAAATGCTGGTGAGGGTGTGGAGAAATTGGAAGGGTCATCCGCCACTGGGGGACTATAAACTGAGTCACCACTGTGGAGAGTGGTATGGACTTTCTAAAACCGTTAGGAATAGAACTACTGTATAACCCTGCAATCCCTTGTTGGGAACAGGGATACCATATAAGCCAGCAGTCCCTCTACTTGGCATATATCCTAGAGAAGAAAGAGCCACAGTGTGAATATATATAAGCAGGCCATGGTCATTGCATCACAATTCACAATCAGAAAAAAACTGGAGAACCTAAATGCCCCTTGGTAGAAGAGCAGATAGATAAACACACGTGAATACCATGCAATGTGAAAGAATAACAATGCATTGTGAAAACTTTACAATATGGATGAACCTGGAAGACGTTATGCTGAGTAAAATTAGTCAACCACAAAAGGAGTACTGCCAGAAAAAGTCAAGAATTGGTTTTCACATGAAGAGGAGGGATCTTTGATAGTTCCCAGGGATGGAAAGGGGGCCAGGAGGGGCAGTCATAGGTAGAGGGGAGGCAAGTGTCAACTTGTTGACACACAGTAAGAGGGAGGTTAGGAAAAAGGGAGGGAGGACCCAACACTGGGAGGTTCACAAGCATTCAAGGCAACAGAGGCAAATACTGTCATGCACGCAATCCTGCCATAGTGGTGTATACAAGGAGACACTGGGAGTGGCATGCCCTTGGACAGAGTGTGTGGGCAGGAGCAGGAGAGCGGGAGTATACGCACGATCTGAACACGTAACACAGGTTTGACAGAGGACATTTACACACGTGCATTGACTTTTGCTGCAAATATGTCCCTGAACCCTTGAATGTGGTGGAACAAAAGTTGTGAAAACTTCTTACATATATCCTAGTGAAAATGAGTCCCTGGGCCTGGGGGGATCAAAACCACAGTCTTAGGGAGCACTAAGGTCAAATGGATTAACATGGATCATTAAGACAATGTTTTACATCTTGTGAGCAGCCATCAAAGGTGCAACTACAGATTTCTTCCCATTCAGAGGAAAGCAGAGTGACAAAAACCAAGAGACATGGAAACAATTATTACAGTAGACAAATGGGCCGTGCAAACATGTTTCCACAGCCCAGAAGAATTAGGTGACACATGCCTACTGCTACCACTGCTCAGAAAAGGCACATCAGAAGGTCTTGGACAGAATGGAGAAATATGTGGAACAGAACTCAAAATCTTAAAAACAGGAGACCAGGTTTCCTGGTTGGGTAGAGGCTGGCTCTCAGTAACCCTTTAGGTCAGGAATGGAACTTCCCTCCGTGGGAGAATAATCGAGCATTTGAGATCAAAAGGGCAGCATTTCCCCAGGACAAAGTTCACCAGGCTAGGAGAGGAGGAGGGATGGGGGCAGGAGTGAAAAGGGGGAGGAGGAAACATGACGGTACAGTGAAGAGACTTATAAAAGACACTTATAAAAGACAAGTACAAAACATTTGAAGAACTACTGCAGAGGAAATGAGATAAAGGTGGGGGAAAACAAGGAGCTGACCTAAAAATTAATCAGAAAAGGCCTGTATTATTGTCTGTCATAAATGGAGAAAACAGGATATTTGTTTTAAGAAGGCCTACGACATAATAAATATCTAAAATTCAACCGGGATTTTCAAATGCTCTCAAAACCCCTAATTGCTGGAAAAAGAAGTGGTCATACTGGTCTTAAGAGGTGTGAGCAGCCACCTAAGGTGCAACCACTGTCTCCCCATTCAGAGGAAAAGAGAGTGACGAGAATGAAAAGGCCCATGGCAATAATCAGTCTAGTGGACTAATCAATGGACCAAGTGAAAATTAGTCTCTACAGCCCTGAAACCAGAAGCACTAGATGGTGCCGGGCTACCTCACTACCAATTGCTCTGAAAAGGATCACATTAGAAGGACCTGGATAGAGTGGGAGAGAAACATGGAACACAACTCAAAATCATCAAGGAAAATAAGTTTGCTGGTTGGAGAGAGATGGGGGACTCCCCAAACTACAGCCCTTCGTCACACTCATGTCTGGAACTGAACTCACTCCCACGGCAGCGTAATCAACCACTGAAAATCAGAATGGCAGCATTTACCCACGGACAAAGTTCAGAGAGTTAGGAGAGGAGGAGGAATGGGAACAGGAACCAAGGAGAAAGCAGAATGTGGTGGGGTGGTGCACTGAGGACTGCAATGGTCAGGTTGAAACATAACTAAAAACAAAACCAAAAGAAACCCAAACTCACTGCCATCGAGTTGATTCTGACTCATAGTGACCCTTCAAGACAGGGTAGAGCTGGTCCTGCAGGGTTCTGACACTGTAACTCTTTGTGGGAATAGAAGGCCTCTTCTCCCTCGGAGTGGCTGGTAGTTTTGAACTACTGACACTGGAGTTAGAAACCCAATGCGTGACCATTAGGCCACTTGAGCTCCTTAGAGTTGAAACAAAGAATGTAGGATTTGTTGTTGACTGTAGGGCTGATGATCTGCCCTGTAAACTTTCACTTAATTCACAATAATTTTTTTAAAGTGTTGCCATACCTCCATGAAGATTTGCTGATAGTACAAATGGATACGCCTTCGTCCAGCTCATGACCGCAATCGTTTCCGGTTGGGTAGGATCTGTTATCTGAACAAACTGGTCTGGGAAATTTCGGTTCAGGTCAAAGTTGTTGCTGTTGTTTCTGCCAATCACGCTCATTGAATCTCCTATATGGTGACAGGATTCAAATTTAAGCCATGCTTCATTTATATTTTGATCCAGTATCTGTCACTTCATCTAACCTAACTCAAAGTATAAATATGTCAGGATTCACGATGATCAATTACTCAAAACCCATTGCCACCGAACTAATGCCTACTCACAGTGGCCTTTTGGACAGGGTAGCACTCCCCCTGTGAGTTTCCAAGGCCCATCTTTCTTGTGCAGAGCAGGCTGGCTGTCTTGAACGTACAACCTTGGGGCTCACAGCTCAATATGTAACCACTGCACCACCAGGGCTCCCATGATCAATCACCTGACTTAAACCACCTACCTTTTTAACACTGCACATTTGTTAAAATGGATCCCTTCCAGATCTTTTGATGCTGAACCAAAATAGTTAAAATTTTGAGAAAGCTCGGTACCATCGAGTCCATTCTGACTCAGAGTGACCCTATGAGGCAGAGTAGAACCGCCCTCGTGGGAGTGTGAGGTGGCAAATCTAAGAGTAGAATGCCTGAGCCCATGCAGCAGCTGGGGGGGAGTGTTCAAACTGCTGACCCTGCCTTTAGCAGAGGATCACATAACCCACTCAGCCATCGGGGCTCCAGGGAGGAGGCAGAGGAAGAGAGAAGCAGCACTCTAACCCAGTTAACAGGGGGACCCAGAAAGTTCACGGGAAAACGCCACTGTCTTTTAATTCCATGTTTCCATAAAATGTTTTGAAGCAACTTCATACATGGAAAGTAGAACTCAGATTCCAAATAGAGTCACTGGTTTTTGGTTTGATTTCTCATCTAGAAAGTTCCTGAAACAATAACTTGGCAAGGACTACTGCTACAATGGAGTAATTTGTAAAACTCTTACAGTAATTCTGGCAAGAAAGAGGCATTACTAAAGTGGAAAACTCCATTAAGTAAACATAAACTGGGTCATATAATCATTGAGTGGACTGCCTTATCTCACAGGAATACAAGAGCTACAATCAATTATAAATTAGAAGAAGAAAGCCCAAGGAAATAACCAGCTCAAATTCTCTTCTACTCCAAAATAATCACGCCAAGTGATAATCAAAACATCAAACCTTAAAAACAAAAGCTAAGTCTTTACCTTCCTGGGCCTTCTCATATCCATCAGGATTCATGGATGGCATCAGGTGAATTCTAGTGCTACGAACCAAATCTGTTACTTCAGGGTCCGTTCCAAAGTTCTTACAGAGGTATTCGATGAGGTTCAATAGCAGCTCTCTTCCAACCACTTCATTCCCATGCATATTCCCAATGTACTTAAATTCTGGTTCACCTGAAAACATGTAGAAAATATTATGCGTAATTTTCCCTTTTTGTTATCATGTAATTTGTTTAGCAATGGATATAGGGTTCTGAACTAAAAATTTAATGAACCAGATTTTGGGAAAGGACGCAGTCAAAACTTCACAAATATCTTATAAAGCATCTTCCATGTTTGAGAAGCAGGCACAAAGCACACACACACCTATAAAATCATTTTTCAAAAACTGACTGCCATTGATTCTGACTCCTTGTGAGCCTATAGGACAGAGTAGAATTGCCCTTTGGGTTTCCAAGATTTTAAATCTTTATGGATATAGGTAGCCTCATCTTTCTCTTGCACAGTGGCTGGTGAGTTTAAACCGCTGACCTCATAGTTGGTAGCTCAATGAATTACTCACATATAATATGACGATGAAAATATTAGGAAAAAATAGTCTAACCTAGGCAATATATGAAATATCATGCCGAGTATGGGGGGGTCAGTTGGATTTTCTTCATTTCTGGCAAAAAGGTTGGTTACATTTTCCTTTTTCCAGGGGATCTTTCTGTAACTGTGCTATACTTGAGGTGACCTTTCTGGACGAATCCTAGCAACATCGTACATCGCTTTGAGAGGCACTACTGAAATAATCTGCAAGACCACAATTACCTGGCTCGTGAACACCTGGATTATCAGAGATCTCCATCACATAAAGTTCTCTCGACTCTACTGACTTTCCCAAGGAATAAAGCCGTGTGATGTTAGGATATTCGTTGGCAAACCTTCTCAAGAAGATTTCCATATCAGGGAAATGGTGGTGGTGAAAGTCCTTTGGCTGAATTGGCTGGTATGAGGCTGGCGTTCCAGGAGGAACATTATGTGTATCAACGGTGCTAACAGTGGCCAAGGCCTCAGTCATGTCAGGGTTTTCTGAAGTCACAGTTGGCCGCAGGGTAAAATTCACCTCTATAGCTGTCTCTTCTTTCACAGCGACATTGTGAAACGTCAGTGGCATATACCTGAGGAAATATTTGAAAAGGCAAATGCCTTGGAGTTAAATTAAGCCCCACACCGCTTCAACAGTATAGAACTAGAGATGCTTTCTCATAGAATTGCATTTCCTAGCCTATCAAAACTCAAACTAAAAACAGATGCACAAGCTAAAAGAATTTTAGGATATTATTGCAGAAAGTCCCAGACTAAACTTTGAAGAACTATTTCTGATACTGTATTCTCAGGTATCACCCTTACAAAACTTTTAAGAATACAATAAAAGATGAAAGTTGACACTCCATTGCTAAAGTACTCAAAGGAGGAGTAAACGATACTGACATTCCAATCATTGACCCAAATAGGTAGATTCAAAATTAACTAACGGCTAATAATTAAATCCTTATCAAAGTGAGCTTCCATACTGTTTCCAGGGGAGGTAGAATATCACTCATTTCAGATATTAAAAAGCTGATGAGGACCTAATGCGGAGGCTTAAGTGGAGAGGAAATGTTTTGAGAATGATGAGGGCAATGAACGTACAAATGCGCTTTACACAATTAATGTATGTATGGATTGTGATAAGAGTTGTATGAGCCCCTAATAAAATGATTAAAAACAACAACAACAACAGTAAAAAAAAAACAACAAAAAAAACTTGATGGGAAGACAGCATTTCTGCCATTTACAGAGCCTTGGATTTCTTCTACACTGACATCCTGTTAGCCTCGAAAAAATGCATTACACAGCTACCTTTTTAAGTTTCAAAAACTATTCTTCAAGGAGAGTCAGAAAGAGGTAGAGGATATGGAATAGGTGCCTAATTGATTCCATGAACAACTGCCTCCTTTGTCATAAGACCCTAAGAACTGGATGGTGCCAACATTTTGATCAAAGATTCTCTAGATAAATCTTGACCAAAAGGGGGAAAATGTAAAACGGAATTTCATATTCTCAAGAGTACTAGACTTTCTGGAGTTATGGGACTACATGGATTCCTGAAACTAATGCTGAGAAGATAATCTTTAAAACTTGAAATTAAAATATGCCCAACCCAAAAAATGTCTTAAACAACCACAAATCAAAGCATGAGATGGAAATCTTTGGGGGCAGGGAGTTCATGTTTCTGAGGGACAAACAGCTCAGAAAAGAAAGGTGAGAATCGTTGCACAACTGAAATTATCTAATCAATGTCACTGAATTGTACATCCCAAAACAGCTGGATTGATGAATGCTTTTGTTGTGTATAGTCTTATCACCACCAACAAAATAAATTTAAAGCAAAAAAGATGTCCTCTAGCCGAGTGATAAAATAGGTTCCCTACTCAGTTGTACTGTGATCACATGACAAAAGACTCTTTCATGGTATTTTAGTATATTGTAACAGGGAAAGAAATCAGAAAGTAAGATAAAAAGGCAGATACAGGCTATAAACATTTCTGGGACTGCATGTCTACCTTAGATATCACCCAAAAAAGAGAACTGGGATTTTAAGAGCTTAGTTTTAAGTTCTTACCCAGTTAAAACTGCTGTCAAGTTATATGTCCCAGGAACAAGCAATCTGTGGAAATCACCAAACCTGCCTGTTGTGATGTTATGGTTAATACCAGCCACTGAGATGGTTGCATTCTCTAAGCCAGATCCTGTTACTGAGTCTTTAACAAATCCTTTAACTCCAATGTGGACCTGGAAAAAAAATCACAAAGAGGAAATCAAGCAGACTGCACAGAAATGGTCTATTTGGAAGGCAAGTGCCTCTCTGTGCTGATGCTAGAATTTCTAAAACATAAAAAGTTACCCCTCTCATGCCTTGCAACATTTTTCAACCCTTCCTATTTAAAATAAAATGTAAACAAAAAACATTAAGCCCCGTTCAACATAATTCATATGGGTTCGAAATCTAGATTAGTAAGCTATGTGCTTCCAAATTCCCTCTCCTCAAGGCTAGACTGCTGATTTTCTTAACCAAGTTACAAGTATTAATTTCTGGTCTATCCAATGGTTGTATGAGCCTATTTTGATATTAAAACCTGAATGCCCATTGCTCATACAGTAATAAGGGTCCTCTAGCCAAGGAGTGGCAAATGAGGTTGCAAAAACTGGAGAGTATAAATGTGGATAATTTTTTCAGTTTGCAGAATTGCTCAAAAGACAGGCAGAGGAGCCCTGTTACACAAGAAAGCTTGGGGGCGGGAGTGGGGGTAAAAAGAAAGCAGAGGGCAATATGCAGGAGAGGTAGAGATGAAATTTGTTGTGACAAAATAATCTCTAGAGATAATCTACAAGCTTAAATATTAAAAACAGATGAATAAAATCAGGAGTATCTAGACTCATTCATATGCAAATGGATCTGCCCCTTATTTCCCCATACCCCGAGCTTCCAGTCAGCTACTTTTACCTTTTCAATCAATGTGATCAAAGACTCACGATTGTTCTCCCACTCTTGTCGAAGCTGCGAAGCAGGTGGGTACTTGCAACAAGACAGCTCTAATGTGATCTCAAAGCAGTTGGCCCACACATAATTGTAATCCTGCATCCCACCTGTAACATGAAAGAAAAACTAGGTTTACTCTCAGAAGGCAAAGAATTCTACTCTCCAAAAGAAATTACGCCATATAAATTTTCTTTTCATTAAACTATTTGAATTTAGAGAAAACCCTTGAATTACAGAGGGGACTATAAAGGCATGTTAAACGAATATACACATCCATTGGTGATAGGAATGAACAGGATAGAGGATATGAATACATCAGTTAATAACAAGAGCAGTAATGACAACAGCTTTACGTTGGAGTGTTTGCTATACCAGGCATATTATATGAGCCTTAGGTTCATTCACTCTTAATCTATACAACAACCGCTATGAGGTAAATGTTGCTATTTCACCCATTTTACAGATTTGAGATACGGGGCACAGAAAGGTGATGAAATGAGAACGAAGACTACACAGGAACTGAAGACCAAAAGGGTGTGTGTGTCATTAGGTAAGCGGGACCCGGGATATGGAACCCTGAAAGAGGGGGATGGGACTAATGGGTCATAACACGTCCTTCTCTCTGTTTAACAGAGAGAGATTCATCTGCGCTGTGTCAGGTCCCTGATAGACTTGAGACTACTTGTATGTTTGTTTTCTTCTTCTTTCTCTCGTGTGTGTGTGTGTGTGTGTGTGTGTGTGTGTGTGTGTGTGTGT